AGGGAGGGGGAGGGGTCCAGTCAGCTGGGCGTGCTGTGGGGTGCGGGAGCTGCAACGGCGCAGAGTCAACCCCGGCGGCCGCCATGCCCGGCATCGACAAGCTCCCCATCGAGGAGACGCTGGAAGACAGCCCCCAGGTAAGAGAGGCAAGACGCAGCCCGGTGGGCGGAGGCCAGATCGGGCCCGACCCGTGGGCGCCAGGCCTAGCGCTGATCCTCTCTCGCTCCCTCCCCCCCCCTATTCCCTCGGGGAGACATTGGAGAGCCTCGGCGGCGGCCGGGAAGGAGGGGGAAACCCTCCCCGGCAGCGGAGCAGGGGCGCTGCGTGCATGGCCAGGTGCCTTCCCATCCTCCTCGCCCCTGCGGCGTGGCAGGGGCTCGGGGCCAGGAGTCATGGCTCTCGGGCTGTCAACTTCGGCAGTGCCCCCTGCGAGGTGTCGCCCCAGTCTCCGCGGCGCCTTCTTCCCGCTTGCATCACCGCGTCCTCTTGGGTGTCCTGCGGGCTGATGAGCTGTTTATAAAGCAGCGAGCTCCGTAACGATTTTCCGGAGGTACTGTGCTTCAGCATCGGGCGTCAGGGTAGTCGCTTGCATTGACTCCCTTACTTCCCCGCCCCCGCATTTACATTCATGACTTATTTTGGAGACCTCGTGTTGACAAAACCCGTCTTCACTTCTCAAGGCCATTTTTCTTATCTTTGTGTTTTACTAAAAACGCATTAAGGTTTAATAGGTACGTATGAAAAGCAGTTATCGGATGAGGTTATCCTGGCGGTTGTTAATGCTGTGAGTAGGCGGGAAACGCGTGGTGCGGAGAGGCCTTTAATTGCTCTGCTATCTTCACTTCCATTTCTGCTGCTTGACCTTTGTCAGTGATGCCATATATTGTATTGGCATTTCTTTCATACTACTATTAAGCAGAAAATGCTTTATTCAATTGCACTGGTTTCTCTTGCTGGCAGCAACAACAACAGCAAGTACTTTGTACTGCTCTTCCTAGACGCGAAAAAAAAGTTTACAATATATTTTCTTTTATTGCAGCCTTTTGAATTAAGATCTTTGTTTTGCTGCATTGTTTATGTAGATGAGCAAGACTTCCTATATTGTAATAGCATATGCATTGGTAGTTTTGATTCCTCAACCATAGGAAGAGAAACTTTCACTTGCTTAATAGGGAATTTTAACCCCATTTTAACAAATCTACATCAAGTGGAGGGATGACTTAGAAAAAGCAACAGAAGAAGGCCACATATAAAGTGTATCATTGCTTGCCAAAGGACAGTGCCCCATATAGCTCAGATACTAGATGTTAGATGAGATCTAGCCTGTACTATGGTCTTTGGCCCAGAGACTAAACCTGAGTACTCTCATGAAGAGGAAAAATTTTTGAAAGTGTTATAATAATAGTAATTTAACAAAATTATCTCTTGGAAGTTTGTTCTCAGTATATGAAAGTCAGAACTATTCATATTTATAGGAAATGTCAAACGTGAGATAAACTTAGGATCCCTAAAAAGTGGGATGTAGGGTTTTTTTTCCCAAGCTCTTAAGACTGGAATGTCATTTGGGAAGCACATGCAAAAAAGTACATATTGGAACATAATTATAAATTCTAGAGTCTTTCATTTGAGGTTATTTGTGGTACAGACTAGCAAAGCCTAACTCAGCCCAGTGAGTTTGATGTGCTTAAACTGTTAGATTTGCCAATATCTTCTTCTATTTTTAGGTACAAAATTTTATATCAACCTAATATTTCAGGTGAATTCTGGCTAACCACCTCTTAGAAGAACATAACTAGGACTCTGTAGTATTCCATTACATTAGTTCATTTCTGTTATTTTGAAATCAGTGCAATGAAAATGGCAACAAATGTTGCTTGAAGAAAGAAGAAACCTTGCTTTCTTTAGGAGTTGCCATGACTTTCTGATTGACGTGTTCATGCTGTAATATTGAAAAAGATCATCAGCCTAGGTCATTGTTTAGTGCTGAACTATGGACTGGAGTTTTGCACCTTTAGACATGCTTTAGACACTAACTTTAGGTATATAAACATCATATCAAACTTATTCTGCATCTGAGGGAAGGAAAGGCTTTTCTAAAATGGCAAAACCCATTCATTTCCTCTTGTTGTAGGACAAAAATCTAACCACTGTGTTTTTAGACTTAAACCAAATGCCAAGTTTACATTGTCTTTTGCTGTGCAAAGCAATGCAATTTAAATGTTAACTTAGGACATATATTACACACATACTGAGTGTTCATATATATATTTAGAGAGTTTCTGCTCAGACTTATTTGCATTCCTGAAGCATTGCACAATAAAAAAGCCAATAGACTTGATAGTACAGGCTCTATCTCATGTCACTTACACTACCATACATAGTCTTACCATAGTCATACTGTACAAGATAAAAAAGCCAATAGACTTGATAGTACAGGCTCTATCTCATGTCACTTACACTACCATACATAGTCTTACCATAGTCATACTGTACAAGTCTCACAATCGCTAACCCTTGTTCTTATGGGGGACTTGAACTTACCAGATGTCTGCTGGAAATACGATATAGCAGAGAGGAAGCAGTCTAGGAGGTTGCTGGAGTGTGTGGAAGATAACTTCCTGACACAGCTGGTGAGTGAGTCAACTAGGGAAGGCGCCCCGCTGGACCTGTTGTTTGTGAACAGAGAAGGACTGGTGGGTGATGTGATGGTTGGAGGCC